TAGCTAAAAACAAGCATACAATATAATAACTTTTATAATCCATAGCCCAAATAAATAGTTTAAATACCCTACAAAAAAGATAACCCTTTATGAAGTCGTCAAAAAACATATGTTACAGCGGTTTTTTATATGCACAAATCCCTTTCATAAAGAAATAAAATTAAAAAAATAAATAAATCTCCATAGACACGTAAACCAGACGAGGCTAAAACATCTTCCGTTTCAAATTTAGGCACCCCCACCTTACCCTGACTTGACATCTATGAAAGTAACTCTATACTGATACTTATTATTAACACCCAACACACGCCTACCCAATTTAAACAATTCGCCCTAGTTGTTACCATGAAAATTTTGATTTCAATTATTAAAACACGTAAATTTCAGAAATACGTTATTCCAAAAAAAAAAAAAAATTCGCTTGAAGATGGGACAGAGCTTACTTTAACTCAATTTAATTCAAATAATTATATTGATGTTTTCGGCTCTTGTTTTGAAACATGAGACCTTATATGTCGCGAGTTGGAATCATATTTTTAAATAAATAATTATATTTATGCTCTACTTTTGTATCGAGCACTATTTTTTAAAAATAATAACTAAAATTCTAAGGAACTTTGGATTACCCAACCAGTTCTTTCCTATTTTCTATATATTTTCACACACACACACACACACACACACACACACACACACACACACACACACACACACACACACATATATGTATATATATATATATATATATATAATATGGACTGACGATTGCGTTTAAGCATGAAATAGACTGTCTCCCCCGGGTGTTGACTTCAATGTCCACTTTTATATTTACATACGCTCTATCCCTGATATTGCGCACTTTAACCTATAAATATAGCATACATTATATCTACATGATATATATATATATATATATATATATATATATATATATATATGATATATATATATATATATATATATATATATATATATATATATATACAAAATCCCAATATATTGATAAAATCAACACAATGCCAGTCATGTGACCAAAGAAAACTAATTAAAAGAAAAACCAATAATCAATAAGACAAAACCAAGAGGAAAAAAGGATCGAAGAAAAAAGAGAAAAGGAAACATAACCAAAGAAGAAAGAAGCAAAAGACAGATACTTACCTAATTAGTAAAAATATAGTAGCGATCTATGTCTAAATTACCAAGACATAGCAATTATCCTTCACAGCGTCATGTCAGCAAAAGTATTAGCACACATGACTGACAGGTGTTTTTTTGTTGCCCCGGTTTCGCCTTTTTAGACGGATTGTTTAAACATTAAATAGCTCTGAATGGCTACTCTTAGTTTTAACCTTGAGTTTCACCTGTAGACTCTGTATTTCTTGTTAAAAAAGATAAAGCAAGATGAAGACAAGAGAGTTGCCAATGGGAGAAAAGGAAGCCATTTTGAAGTTGAGCAAAGAAGGATAATCGATCAGAGCCATTGGTCAAACACTGGGCTAGCAAACACAACTATTTGGAATGTCCTGAAAAAGAAAGAAACTATTGGTGTATTAAACATGAGATATAGGACAGGTGGAGCAAGTTAAGCAACAACAACTGATGACAGAAACATTGTGAGAGTTGTGGGAAAACCCCCAAAACAACAATCAGTGGCATCACCAACAACCTCCACAGTCCAGGGTTGAAGGATTTCACAATCCACCATTTAGAGAAACTACGAAAGCAGAAGTATACAGACATTATTTACATTATTCGGACTATTGTCCTCATCTTTGTCGCCATGTTTATTACAACGTTTCGGCCGTTGTACGCTCCGGCCTTCTTTAGGTGGTTGGAATGCCGAACTGAACCCTTTATTTCGCACACTAGGGTAGGCTGTTCTAGTTCCACGTGCCATATTTCATGGATGTCAGTTGTCAGTTATCTCCTGTTAATTCCCCTCTCCAAGTTCTCCACTGCCTTAACCGGGTATTGAACTCACACTCTTTGGGTCTTGTCACTGGATCTAACTAACGCCTTTATCCACTGTGTCATGTGTCTTTGAGGATAGTGGATAAAGGTGTTATGACAGGACCCAAAGACTGAGTTCAATACCCGGTTAAGGCAGTGGAAAACTTGGAGAGGGGAATCTAGAGATGTTAAACAACTTAGGACATACCACCTTTTGTTTGAACCCACCCATTTTTCATGTGATCAAAACTATTGGAACACGTAACTGACAGGTGTCTTTTGTTGTCACGGTGTTGCTTTTTAGATTGATTGTTTAAACATTAAATAGTTCTGAATGACTACTCTTGGTTTTCGTCTTGGGTTTCACCTGTAAAGACTTTATTTCTTGTTAAAATAAACCATTTTGAAGCTGAGAAAAAAGGAAAATCGATTAGTGACATTGAACAAAAATTGGGCATAGTCAACACAACAATTTGGAATGTTCTGAAAAAGAAAAAAACTATTGGTGTACTGAGCAGAAATTTCTAAAGCAAACAAGAACTGAAAGAGGCTGCGTTAAAAATCTGGGAAAGGATAAAAAAAAATGAAGAATACAGAAGTTTGATGATCTCAATGGCTTGCCGACTTGATGTAGTTATTTCTCGCAAGTTTTATACAAGCAAATATTAAATGTTATTTACTTTAAGACTATCTGTTTCCTTATTTTTGCTCATCTAAAAACGGGGCTGACCTAATACAAAATGGCGGTATGTCCTAAGCTGTTTAACACATCTAAATGTAACTACCAGGAAATAAAACTGAAATTTTAACTTTTTTTGTTTCATATTCATTTTTTGATCTTTAACCCAAATTTCTTTCGTGAACAACAAAGAACAAAGGAACTGGTCTTGCCGTTCCAATACTTTTGAAAGATTGGATTGTTTATATATATATATATATATATATATATATGAAAAATTTCTCAGAGTTAACCTGTAGAAAGACAATATTTATAAATATAAATAGGAAAACTGTAGTTATTGCTGACACGTTTCGTTCAATGTGGACTTTATTTCGTTTTTTTTTGCTTTGATAAAGTCCACATTGGACGAAACGCTTCAGCAATAACTACAGTTTTCCTATTGTCATTTATATTTTATATATATATAATCATCCGGAGACAGAATGACATCCGATTACGCCAAACCGGGATCGAAACCCGACTGACTTGGTATCAGTCGGAGATTTTTACCCCTAAGCCATTGGCGCAAGGCATGTAGTAAGGTGAATACTTTTGAAGGGGACTCTATGTGTGTGTTTATGTGTATGTGTGTGTGTGTGTGTCTATGTATGTGTGTGTGCATGTCTGTATTTGCGTGTATGTATGTGTATGTATATTTGTGTGTGTGTATGTATGTGTGCGTGTATGTATGTATGTGTGCGTGTATGTATGTATGTGTGTGTATGTATGTTTGTGTGCGCGCGCGCCCGAGGATTGTTCTGAAACGCCTTATTGCTTATGGATGGTTAGGGTTATATTTCGAACCATTCTAAAGGCTACTGAGTAGGAATAATTGTGGTTACGAGTGCGGTTATTTGTGTCCAGGGTTGTTTGTTAACTTTTAATTCCTTATTTAGGATTGATTACGTAATGCACTTTATATTTCTTCATTAATTATTTGTTACCGCCTCTACCCAATAATCGTCATGATTGATACAACAAACTGGGAACACCTAACCGTTCAATCCATAATGGCGTATTGACTTGTATATCTGAATAATCAGGACACCACACAACACACACAGCTTGAACATTGCGCTCAAGCATGAAACAAACTGTCGCTTCATAGTGTTGATCCCACTTTTATATTTATATACATGTTATCCCTGAGATCAGAACTGAGCGGCGACTGTCTGTTTTATGGTTGGGCGCTAACTTTAATCCTAAAGATTATATTCAAGCAGGAAACAAACTGTCACCAATCAGTGCTGACTTTCGTATCCACTTTTATATTTACCGACGGTCTAACCCGGATATGGATCACTTTTGCCGACAAATATAGCATATTTTAAAACTATATTTTTATCACACACACACACACACATATATATATATGCATATATGGACACACACACACACACACACACACACATATATATATATATATATATATATATATATAATTATGTATGTATGTATGTAGGTGTGTGTGTGTCTGTGTGTGTGTGAAGATATGGTTGACATGATGGTTTTCAACGAAAATTTTGGAGGTGCTAGAAACGATTAAAAATGTAAAAAAAACCCCAAGCACCTTGATGTTACCTCTCAATAACAACACAAACATCTAGACAACGAAAATTATCTCTATCAAGTATAAGACCACCTCCATTTATGCTATGCTTCCTTCTTAGCGATCTCATGGAATGCTCCCTATACACATAAATAAAACTGTTTATTATATATATATATATATATATATATATATTGAACAATAAGAAATATTAAAAATTAAAATCTCCACGCTTTTGCGATCGTCAGACAATCTGACGATCGCAAAAGCGTGAAATCCAGGGTCACAAACTCACATCAATCCAACCAAATATGCTAGCTCTATCACTCATATTGAGCGCTTTTAATAAGTACCGCGCATATAATATATAAATAATAATATATTACACATATATATATATATTTATATTTATATACACACACTTTTCACACACACACACACGCATATATATGTGTGTGTATGTGTGTGTTTGCAGATATGTAGAAAAATAGGAAGACTCAAATAATATGGAAATAGTCAATATACCGATTGCGTTGATTTTGTTACCTTGAAAATCAGCATTTGAAAACCTCGTTTTTACCGGGTCCTAGACGCGGGGTCGAACGTAGGTAGAATAAGCAACCTACAACGATAATCCCTTTCACCAATAGGACCCCTGGTAGGTGGGATTTTTTTTTTTTTGTTTAGAAGAATAGTTAGCAAGCCAATTCCGCTGACCTTTATGGTTCAATTCTTACTGTGTGCACCCCGCAGATGGTCATGTGTTGTAACATATTCCTTTTAAGATAGGTTTATGGAGTGGCAGAAAGAAATAAAGAGAAAACAAAAAGAAAAAGAAGAGAAGCGAACAAAAAAAAAGTGAAGAAAAAAGAAAATAATGTGAAAACGGAAAAAAGAAAGAAAGAAGAAAGTAAGAAAAAAAGAAAAAGAAGAAAGTAAGGAAGAAAAATTAAATGAGAAAAAAAGAAAGAAAAGAAGCTGGAAAGAAGATTGTTGAAATTTTTACGGCTTATCAACCCCTTGCAGATCATTTAAAGCCAGAAAATATTTTTACATTGTCATAAAATTTTGGGAGATAATACTGGTTTAGCGATACAAGTCTTACTAATTAACCCATAGATGGGGAGAGAAGAGGTGGATTAATACCTTTCCCAGGGTATTTACACGTAAGTGAATATAACAAACCCAACTGGAATTGGAACTCGGTTCTCTGATTAACAATTCCGAACCGTCATCCATTACACCACCCGCACATCCATGCTTACAGCGCCTTGTAGTCCCAAGCGGTCACCCATCTAGATACTGATCAGGCTCAACGCTACTTAATTTCGGTGATTGTACCGGAACCAATGTTTCAACGTGATATGGCCGTAAGCCCGGGAAAGAAATAAAGAACAGAATATGAATGTGAATAATAAAAACGACAAGAAAGACATTGAAGGAAATCTAAAAAGCAAAAATAGAAACAGAAATTATCTTTGTGTTATATATCCACGGGACGTAGGCAAACATGGCTCTCCACAATTTCCTGTCGTTCGTAGCTCTTAAGAAATGTTGTCTTTTTGTTATTTCTCCTAAACCCTGTTCCACCATTCATTTACTCAAGATCATTACGAATGTTATGCGTTGTTTTCCTCTGTCCCTCTTGCCTTCAATCTGTCCTGTGAGTATCAGATTTTCCAAGCCATCTATCCTCATTATGTGCCCTGGAAATTTCAAAATGATTTTTTAAATGAACAAATGACCTAAGAGTTCTGCTTTGTGGCTTACTTGCCTACCTGACATCGGAGTTTAGCGATCGGTGGGTGTTTGTTCCCAGCTTAAAAATCAAGATTTCGAATACTGATTTTCAAGGCAGACACCAATATTCCTCACTCTTTCGCTAACTCAGAATATTTTGACCTTATGCCGACCGAAATTGAGCAAGTATCAAATGTGAGAAAGAGAAAGAACCGAGAGAGAAAGAGAGAAAGGAAGGGAGAAAGAAAGGAGAGAGGCAATGAGAGAGAGAGAAAGAGAGAGAAACAAACGAGAGAGAGAAAAAGAGAAAAATAAATAAATAAATAAAGAAAGAAAGAAAGAAAGAAAGAAGAGAAAGAGAGAGAGAAAGAAACTAAAGAAAGAAAGAAAGAAAGAAAGAAAGAAAGAAAGAAAGAAACGAGAGAGTGAAAGAGAGAGAGAAAGAAACGAAAGAGAGAGAGAGAAAGAGGGAGAAAAAGAGAAAGAAAGAAAGAGGGATAGAAAGAAACGTGAGAGTGAAAGAGAGAGAGAAACAAACGAGAGAGAGAAAGAGAGAGAAAATATAGAGAGAGAAAGGAAAGAAAGAGAGAAAGAGAAAGAAAGAAAGAAACGAGAGAGTGAGAGAGAGAGAGAAAGAGAGAAACAAACGAGAGAGAGAGGGAGATAGAAAGAGAGAGAAAAAAGAGAGAGGTTAATGAGGAGTCGTAGGCAAATAAGAAAGTGAAGAGTGGTGTGAGGGGTTGAGCAAGCCTCGTTGAGGATTGCTGTACTCGTTATTAGCTCGTTAAAAATCAATTCGCGCATCAGTGTTGGCCAGATATAGGCGTATGGCGACAGGATTTACCTGTGTGATACAGAGGCCGACTACAGGCATCCTCAGTAAGTTACCAACAATTTTCGTTTCATTTCTAATGATATACAAAAAAGATAATATTCTCAATAACATAAACTATAAAAACAAAGGTAATATATCTTGAGAACATTGAAATGATTCGAAAATATCGTTTCTTGAAAAAATATTTTCACCATTAGTCTTTCTTTACTCTTTGTGTATATGCTTGTGTGTATATGCTTGTGTGTATATTCTTGTGTGTATATGCTTGTGTATGTGTGTTGTGTTAATTTAACTTTGGTACAAAGAAATTTGTTAAAATTTAATTTTTTAAAAACTTTACAAGCGTAGATGGATAGAAAGTTTGTTCACTCGATTTGAAGAAAACATTTATTTTAAGATGAACCATTCCAGAGATTTTTACACGGATGTTCTTTATTGAATCGAAACACAATAATCTGAAAAGTTCAAGATAAACAAAATGTTTATTTTTTGCCAGTTTATTTTTACTTTCCTTTACGAGACATAAAAAAAAATGAACAATTGGACATAAAATACTCTCGAATTCGGCAAAATATTGAATCAGGGATTTGAACAAAAAGTCTTCTTCCACAATATTTTAAAAATGACGAAGCGTTTTTTTTTTTTTTTAATGAAAGAAACTTTTGGCGTCCAGCAGTTCTCCAAAAAGATTCGTTGGGGGGGAAAAAAAGTATACCCCACCCCGCACCGTATTATTTCAGTTTCGTCGTTTATGCTTAGTTTTACACACACACACACACACACACACACACACACACACACACACACACACACACACACACACATTAAAATTAAAATTAACACGCGCACACACACACATGCACACCCCTCCCCTATATATAAGAAGTTACACGTTGCTGAAATGATTTTCTGCGTTCTAATGTCTTGGATTCAACTTTCAAACAAAGTACGACCCTTTTAAATACACTTCTTAAAAGATATTTCATTATTTTTTACCCTCACCTCTACCTTTTCACGCTCCTGAAGATGACTCGTATAAGTCGAAAGCTTGGACTTAGCATAAATTTCGGATGGTTTATTTTATTTATTTATTTATTTTTTTTACAACAGCCACATTCACAAAAAGTTATTCGTATAAAAAAAGATTGATAAATGCAACAGACATAAAATGTCTACTCTTTTTAATAAGATTTGTTTTCAACAACAAATTGCAGCCAAAATATACTAAGGATATATATATATATATATATATGGTTGGATTGGTGTTTGGTGTGAGTTTGTGACCCTGGGTTTCACGCTTTTGTGATCGTCAGACGATCACAAAAGCGTGAAACCTAAGGGTCACAAACTCACATCAATCCAACCAAATATGTTAGCTCTATCTCTGATATTGAGTGTTTTCTAATAAGTACAGTGCATATAATATATAAATAATAATATATATAATATATTATTATATATATATATATTTATATTCACACACTTTTCACACACGCATATACATACATACATATATATATATATATATATATATATATATATATATATATATATATATATTCAACGTGATTTCTTAGCCAAATAATGAAAAAGTATTTTCTTTACATAATTATTTTTCAGCGTAATCTCCTTCCTTGTTAATGCCCTTAATTCCATGAAAAAGTTTTATTAGTAATGCAATTATAAGTCTACATATATATATCTATCTATAACACAGAGACATACATACAAACATGTATATAGGATTAAATAAGGTTTGATTTGGTTTTGGGTTATTTTGTTTTACGGCATATCACCCTCAATGGGTTATTTAATGCCGACAGCATTTTTTTTATTGCTGGTAATATTTTGTTTTGTCAAAAATCTGTTTCTGGTAATATATTTCCTTCAAAATTGTATTGCTGGTAATAATTTTTTTCAAAAAAGGATTGCTGGTAATAGTTAACTATTTACCGATAGCTGGGACCCTAACAGGTGCTACCACCCCGGGTCAGAGTGGACCTGGGAACACCAGCAATTAAGAGGTGGTATCACGCTCCTCAAAACCTCCTGATCAGAGGCCTTGCTGCTGGATGTAGTTTATCGTCTTACCCAGGACGGGATTAAATAAGCAACAAATAAGAAAACGTTTATAACTTTGAAATCCCTCGCATTTATTTTTTGATTTTTCTGATGAAGCTGCAACAAAATTGAAACGTCAAATTTATAAAAGTTTTCTTATTCTTTATTTAATTATTCTGACGAATTTGACCCATATTTTTCAATATATATATATATATATATATATATATATATATATATATGCCACTTCATTTAAATTGTGTGTGTGTGTGTGTGTGTGTGTGTGTCCTTCGTAGTGAAAGATGTCTGACATCTGGATTCATTTAAATTCATCGGTTTGTGCTTCAATTTTGTTTCTTATTCTAAAGCCTCCGTGTCCTGTAATTCATAGCTGGGAGGAGAAGCATTGGATTCATTTCTTTCCTAAGGGTGTTTGCACCTAAAACAATATGAAGAACCTAACAGGAATTAAAACTCGGCTCTCCGATTAACAAATTCTGCACATTGAAAGTTACAGCACCTAAACATTCCCAAGCGGTCACAATTTAAGTACTGACCAGGCTCGACATTGCTTAACTTCGATGATCGTACGGGAACCTGTGTTTCAACGTGCTGTGGCTGCAAGGTCATTATACTAGTCGCACATCCAAGCTTACCACACCTTGTATTCTCAAGTCGTCACCCATCTAAGTACTGGCCGGGTTCGTCGTTGCTTAACTTCGATGATCGTACGGGAACTGGTATTTCAATGTAAGCCATTTATACTAGCCGCACATCCAAACTTACAGTACTTAGTATGCCCAAGCGGTCACCCATCTATGTACTAACCAGGCTCGACGTTGCTTAACTTTGGTGACCATATAGGAACCGTTGTTTTAATGTACTGTGGCCGAAAACAGATGTGTAATGTACTGCTGGTTGCCCGGGTTTCTGATTTCAAACCCGGACCGTTCTCGTTGCCTTCCAAATCTAAAAATAAAAGTCAGCCACACTGTTTTGTTAATGTATTCATTGGCAAGGAGAAAGAATGAAATCCCAAATACATTTATGTGAATTAAACCCATTCATATGTTGGCTCTTTAACCATTACACTTTGCACATTATCTTTCATTTATCTAACCACACATCTTTATATATTTTTATATATTTACATATTTATATATTTTTGCAATTATTGGTACACATGTTCAACTTTTTTTATAAACCCGCTCTTACACTACGAGAACGACCTTGATGTGGCTTAGATAACAACTGCCGGCTTAGATCAGGCGATTTTAGTTCATGTTGGCTTCAATTATTCTTTGTTATCCTGGATCTGCTGGTTGGTCTCCTAAACGATGTCCCAGACTTTAGCGGTCAAGGAGATTAAAATCAAGATAGCTAAGTGACCATATATTTCGGACGGCAGGAACATTCTCGATCAACCATAATTGTCGTACTGGAAGAGGTATTCAGTCATTTCCAAGTTCTTCGATTTAAGCTACATTTTGTAGCGACCATTTCGTTCCCAGGCTACACTCCTAACATCCTAACTTGCACACAAGTACTAATCTAAAACCGTAAACACATATGCATATCTCCTTTTCTTAGATTTATTTTTAATCATTTCACCCGAAGCAAGGCGATAATGCCCCCAAGATGCAAGAGGTAGTGAAAGAGAATAAGAAGACTTTAGATGGAACCGGAATCCTAATTTTAAACAGACAACAAAGGATAAACCTCTACTCTTGTTCAAAAGACGGGTTCACGTAAGATGTCGCCTGACAAACATCCATGGATATATCGCTTCACCTACAAACCGACAAAACTTGTAGACGTCCCGGTGTGTGGCTCATCCTGTCCAGATAATCAGTCAGTGTGATACAAATAAACGTTCGGGTTTTAACATCGGAAAAAAATGAAGATATCTCTATCTGACTATTATTTATACTGCAAATTCAAAACAACAACTAATGCAACGCTATAAATACATTTATTTCAGGTTTTCTGAGATGCCATTATATAAGATGTCGCCAGATGAACATCCGTAGTTATATTGCTACGGCTACAAACCAAGAGTATTGGGCTCTGTAGCCGTCGGCAGTCTGATATCGCTGACATGTGGCGCGTCATTGTTTGATTTGTTTCGTTTTACGGCATATCAACTTTAATAGGTTATTTAATGCCGACAAGATTTTATTGCTGGTAATATTTTTTTTCAAAAATGTATTGGTGGTAATTTTTTTTTTTTTTTTCAGAAATGTATTACTGGTAATAATGTATTACTAGTAATAGTTTTTTCTTCAAAAATTCATTACTGGTAATAGTTTTTTCTTCAAAAATTCATTACTGGTAATAATTTTTTACAAAAATTTATTGCTGCTATTAAAACCTATTTTTACACTTTCATAGTGTTTTGACACCCGTTTGGGTGTTAACTATTTGCCCAGAGCTGGGACCCTAACAGGTGCTACCACCCCGAGTCAGGGTGAACTTGGGAACACCAGCAATTAAGAGGTGGTTGCACGCTCCTTAAAACCTCCTGATCAGAAGCCTTTCTGTCGGATGTAGTTTATCGTCTTACCCAGGACGCGTCTTGTTTGAATAACGCCAGAAGATAGAAACAAATATTTCAAATTTTAACTTCGGACAACAAAATAAAACAGAACCACGCGTTCATGTCTAATTCTTATGTTAAACATCCAAGTTGCTTAAGTGTATGTGATTTTCTCATATTATTTTTAGTTCTAATTCCATTCTGTCGCCAACATCACCGACGTTGCGTTGTGTGTGTTTTTACTATTATAGAGATGGTTTGTTTTCCGAACACAGTCAGCACATTGTGGCCTTGTTCGTAGTTAATATTATTAAGTGTTGGTTTTTTCTTTTTTTATTATTAAGGCTTCCATTATTTTTAATCTTTTTTTTACAGGTAAAATTAAAAATATAAAAATATATATATATATATATATATATATATATATATATATATATATATATATCAACATTGAAGTCAAGAGTACAGTGTGTTTCATGGTAAACGCAGTCATCAGGCCATTGATATTGAGCACTTCAACCCATAAATATAATATACCTTAAAACTATATTTACACACACACACATGAACGTATATATATATATATATATATATATATATATATATATATATAAGATGTCGGAGTTAGTGATACGTTACTGGTGACACGCATATATATATATATATATATATATATATATATATATATATATATATATATACTGGAATTGATGGAATCTAAAAATAGATTTTCTCAGTTTTTTTTAAGACATTTTTGTTTTAGCTTATAGTTTTGAACATTTTAAAATTTGGTATTTTAAATAAAGTTTATCAGCTTTAGCTTATGGGTTCTCAGTTACTTATTCTTTGAAATTGTTATAAGTGTGTAGGTACTGTAGTAGCAACTTTTTTGTGTCTAAATTTGGTTTAGATATTTCGATAGTACTGAGAAAATAATTGTTTTCTCCGTCATTTTCTGTTATTTTTGGCGTTTCTTGGTATGTGTTTTTGAGGTATCGTATGTTTTTTGAAAGTGGTGTACTATTTGCATATTTTTGTTCTTACATAATGCTTGAACCTTCTGTAATCTTTCTCTCTATATATGTATATTCTGTGTTTCCTTGCGATCATACTGAAGCTTGGTATATTACATTGGTTTGTCGGCAATTAAAATTTAGTGGGCATTCGGAGTTTTTTCAGCAGTTATATGTTGGATTTATTGGGTATTTGTGCTGCACTGGTTATTTTCTGTTCTAGCATTTTCCCAGTGTAGCTGTAACTAAATTTTATTGTATTTTGCTGAACATTTTGTGCAGTTTGCTCGTTTTGGGGAGTGTTGATGAGTTTGATGAATATTATACCTATATTCGCTTCTACTTATTCTACGAATTTAACCATGTAAAGATTTTTCTGTTGTATTTTTTTCTTCGATGCGAAGGATTTTCCAAAAAAAAAAAAGCAATTTTTTAGTGGCGTTTCATAATCGCTTTTAGCTTCGTTAATATTTTTTTCATTTGACTAATTGTCGGATAATCTGATGGATTATGGGATTTGCTTTGATTATGGTAGGTGGATGGTTGAAGGTAGGGTGTATGTAAAGTAGGTCGTTATTTGGTTTCTTGAATGGTTGGTATGGACTATTTTGGAAGTTGAAAGCTTCATTAAGAAATCATTTTTTTCTCTTTTAAATTTGTTTTTATATTTATTTTGTATCCTATTTGTTTGAAAATTTTTATAAATTTCTTTTATGGTTTTATCTATTTGTTCCTGTTGCAGATCCTTAGAATTCTGAACTCGTTTTCACACACACACACACACACACACACACACACACACACACACACACACACACACACACACCCTACTACTATTAAGCATTACTCTTCAAGTATGAATTGAGTTCTCCGAGCCGCTGGCGTATTTCGTATAGAGAAAAACGTTAAAGTTCTCTTCCTTTCTAAGATATCTGACTTATGTCAAATCAGTCGGATTTCCATCCCGGCTTGAAGCAATACACTGAGCCACACTGAGGAGTTGTGATACAGCGAAACAGTCTGGCATTGGATGACTATATATATATATATATATATATATATATATATATATATATATATATATGTATATATGTATAGTCAGATGCTACCTGAGTTTTAATAATTTCCATGCCTGAAGATGTACAGTTGAAAGTACTTGAGTATTAAAGAAAGACCTTATACAGCTTATAATTTTTAAAAACAAGGATCATAACATTCATCGAGTGATTTGTAGGTTAATGCATCTTTAAAATTTCGTTAGCGAAGGGATTTCGCCATTTTATATCATTAACTTTACTAATCTACTTTTTGTATGAATGATTCATTGTAATATATATATATATATATATATATATATATATATATATATATATATATATATATATATATATATCTTCATTCAAGCATGTTTCGTTAAATAATATAGATATATGTCTATTTTTATGATAATCCATTCTATTTTTCAAATCATCTTCTTGATGTTAAGTTGAAATTCTTTAAGGAAGGTGACGTATTTTTTGTTAATCCAAGTACTTTCGACCCCCTCTGAAATCATCTTCAGGGGTGAATTGCGAAGACAAACTTAACGTAACTGTAATCGCGATGGTGATTTTTGTAAACACGCGTCAACGTAGAATGTTATAATTATTTTAAAATTAACCCTTGTAGCTCTGATGTTTTGTAAACAAGCGTCCACGATGCAAAGGAAGTAACTAAAGTTTGTAAAATGCAACATGGCGTTAAATTTTAGTAAACACAAATGCATTTTAAAACAATAACACTACACTTGTAATAAAATTTGTTCAGTGTTGGTTGGTTGCTTTTGATATAGAGAACCTCAAGAAGTTTTTTATTATTTTTATGATGTAGTCTCTGTATATATATATATATATATATATATATATATATATACTTCATCGGTGGAAAGTGCCTGAAAAACATACCACGGGTTGACCCAAGTATTGTGAGTGAAATTGGGTAGACGGAACACTTGGGGGACAGTCGACTGCTGTGCTAGCACGAAGTCACAAGTCATCGTGACCGAGGGTTTGAGTGTGCTGGCTATGTTCAGATTGTTGATTACGATAGATAACACGCTCTCTCCCAGAAACTGTAACTAAGGTTTGCTCAGCAGAGTTGCAGTATAAACCACAGGTGGGATCTGTGGGTGTTGAATAAGTACAAAGATGCCTGAGCGAGCGTCCGAATTAGGTATTGGCTAGCCCCCCCCATATATATATATATATATAAAGGAAATATAGTTTTAAGCTGTGCTATATTTATGGGATAAAGCGCTCAGTATCAGAGATAGAGCGTTTGTAAATATAAATATAAAAGTGAACAT